AGAAACTTCAAAAGGTATAGAAGGCTGGTTTAAAATAAGTGCATTATGAAACTGCAATGGACTAATTCTCTACATTTCATTTGTAAGTTCTTCTGAAACTTTCCCTTCTCAGTATCTTTTGCAGTACCAACCAAATACACAAAGTTTTGGTTGGTTTTTTTGTTTGTTTGCTTTGGGTTTTGGTCTGATTTTTGGAGGGTTTTTTTTGACTGTTACTACTTAGGGCATTAATAGGTAAAGAAAAAAAAAGAATCAGTACTTCTGCAACACAAATTTTCTCTTGCTGATGTATTGCACTGGTTTGTTATCAACAAACTAGAAAACAGACCCCAACATTTAAATATTTGTATTACTTTAAATACAAGCAAAAAAAATTCTGCAACACAAGTATCATTTAAAATTCATACAATCAATTTGTACTAACAGCTGTGAACTTGCAATACAAAATGTAAGGACACAGTATTTGCAGTCCCTGAGTCTGAATTTAAAGTTATTTGACCATCTGCTTATGCTGAAAACCAGAACTAGAATACTGCTACTTGGGGGATGGTGGAGGGGAGCTGGATTTGCTGATGCCTCACACTGGAGGCAAAACACAAGTTCCCTGACCCCCCAGACAAGCCCAGGCTGCTAATGTCATAAATGTTATTTTTCCCTTCTGGCATAATTTCAATTTTCAAGTAAGTACACTTGAATTTTTACTTAGGTAAGACAGCCTTGTTTCTCCCGCCACAGTAGGAGACCCTCTCTCAGTGACTGTAATAAGCTGCAGTGACTCTATTGATGAAAGTGAAGAGGTTGGCAGCACACATGCCCAGGTGACCTTCAATGGTCTCAGACAGCTGCTTTCTCCAAGTCTTTCACAGCACAAGAATTCCCACCACTGACCTATTTAGAGCACTGACCCTATTCAAAGACTGACAGATTCTGTAAACCCTTACAGCAACAAATGCAACCCTCACACAAAACCTGGCATAGCACAGTCATCCTCAGAAAACGCATTCATTTATCATGAACCATAAAAGTAACAATCATCATTCAGGAGTTTCTTCAAGTTCACATAACTGTATCTTCATATTGTCACTAGTCTGCACCTTACCTAATATTAGCAAGATCTACTAATTGCTTGAGGGTCCTAAAAGAAATACTTTTCACCTGATCCACTTCATGCATTATGAAGATCTTTGGGGGATTAGTTAAGAGAGCTTTGCCACTTAGCTACTTTTGTTCCGCTAGTAAATCTTCAAACCAAAAGGTTTAAAATATAGAGGATTGGCATTCATGAGGTAAGTAATCCTAGAGAAGAAAGAGAACTGCCACGAAAGTTAGCAATTTCAGTAAGATATTATCATGTAGTTTCTTGAACTGTTTTAATTTTCAAGATAAGTCCTCCAAAGACTTTGTGCAGTACAGCCCTGTGCTCTGCTGTCCTTGCCTCCTGCTCATTATCCTTGTCCCTTGCAAGTCTATGTGCTTTTGACATACAACACACAGTAGGAGTGTCTGGCATGTTGAAATTCAGCTCAGTGTTGTAGCATCCCCCAAATCCATTAAATGTGCCAAACACACGTTCCATAATTAACACTCTCTGGCACAAGCAGTGTTCCTCTTCCCTCACCCATACTTTTAAACAAGCAAGATGTAGTCTTTAGCCAAATACCTATGCCCAAAAGCACCTTTACATATTGCTCATTTCCAGACCTATAAGCATCATCCAGTCAAAATACTGTATTTACCTTAGTTTAAGGTTGAGACATTCAGTATGTTTACACCTCTGCTCAAAACATCACAGTCTAAACCCTCAATAACAACATGGGGAAAACTGTGACTCCCTGAAAATGAAAGCCGATTCAACACAGGGTAGACACAGCAGGTACTCCAGGTTAGACAGTAAAACCTACATCAACTTTACACTGGACAAGGAACACATAATTTCAGTGACAAAACATAGTACTTAGCGATACTCCTGGGACCTCATTCATCACATTTTTATAACTGAGAATATTGATGAATACTACCAAGGTTCCTTTTAGAAGAACAACCTTTTGGTATTCTTCAACATCTTCATAAATGACTTGGATGCAGGACTGGAAGGGATACTAAGCAAGTTTGCAGATGACACAAAACTGGGAGGAGTTGTTGACTCCCTTGAAGGCAGGGAGGCCCTGTAGAGAGACCTCGACAAGTTAGAGGACTGGGCAATCACCAACCACAGGAAGTTCAACAAGGGAAATGCTGGATTCTGCAGCTGGGATGGGGCAACTCTGGATGTATGTACAGACTGGGGAATGAGATGCTGAAAAGCAGTGCCACAGAAAGGGTCCTGGTTGATGGCAAGCTGAATATGAGTCAGCAGTGCCCTGGCATCCAGGAGGGACAACCGTGTCCTGGGGGGCATCAGGCACAGCATGGCCAGCCAGTCAAGAAAGGGGATTGTCCTGCTCTGCTCTGCACTGGGGCAGCCTCACCTTGAATATTGTGTGCAGTGTTGGGCACCACCATATAAGAAAGATATTAAGCTGTTAGAGAGCTTCCAAAGGAGGGCAACGAAGATGGTGAAGAGCCTCGAGAGAAAGCCATATGAGGAGCTGCTGAGATCACTTGGTCTGTTCAGCCTGGAGAAGAGGAGACTGAGGGGACACCTCTTTGCAGTCTACAGCTTCCTTGTGAGAGGAAGAGGAGGGATAGGCACTGATCTCTTCTCTGTGGTGACCAGTGACAGGACCCAAGGGAATGGCTTTTAGTTGTGTCCAGAGAAGTTTAGGTTGAATATTTAAAACAAAGGTTCTTCACTCAGAGGGTAATTGGGCACTGGAACAGGCTCCACAATCTCTCTTGCAGTTTCTACATGTCAGTGTTTAGTGAAATATAAATTTTATTTGCCACAAGAGTAAGAAGATCCCTTCCTCCTTTAATTTGCTTTGTAATTTCAAAGTCAACTTTGAATAAGCTTGTCATAGAGCTGAAGTAAAGATTGGAAATTTTTAGAAAAAACACAAATCCCAACTCAAACATAAGAAACAAGGACAAAATTTTTTAAACTTGGCTGAAAAATTAGTTTGAAGAGATGCTTTCATACAAGAAGCAGTAATTGTGATGACGCAGTTAACCATTATTATCTAGCAACATAGAAGAAATGAGGCTTAAAAAAAAAAAAATCATCTTTCTTATTAGACTGGAGACACAAGTTAGAAAGACCAGACTAGTTTTAGGTTTAAGTCTCCCCATTAAAGTCTCTCTGTTTTCAGAAAGCACAGAGATGTGATTTGTTTTAAAGCTACACTGGGAGATAATGGAGATCAGAAATAGAACCTTCATGTCTATGCTCCTTTTCCAGCTTATGCATAAACCATCTCTTCTTTCCTCACTTTCTCTCTAAGTGATCTGTACTAACAGTAATTTCCTTTTATTATGGCCACCTTCTTCATCCATTTTCTTTAATCCTCCTGCCAGACAACCCTGTTACATGCTTGGCAGAAGAGAAGAGGTCTCTAGGAGGATACATGGTTTGATGGGGGGGAGGGTGGGGTGGGGGAAGCACAGGTCCATGTTCCAGACAATACATAGACTAGCCTTCCAAAATTTCTTGAAGACTCACTATATATGAACTACAAGAAAGGAGCTATGGATTTTATTAAGTACAAAATATATATTCTATTCTGAAAAAGAGATTTCAGTGTAAGTTTTGTTAATTTTGAAGCAAGAGTTACAGCCATCTGTAGCCAATCATAAAATGATAGCATATCATCAGACTTCAGTATATTCAACATTTACAACAGGTGAATTTTACACACCAGCTTCTATAGAAGAGAAAAACCAAACAAATACACAATTTGGTAAGGAGATCTATTGGTGTAGTCTGGACTACAGAGCACATGGCTCAGTAGCCAGGAGATCTGTTACAAAGAACCTTCGTGTACTACTTTCCACAAGTACATTAATAAAGGTGCCTCAAAAAAAAATGCTTGTGTAGATATTTATATTACTACATCTACTGTAGAATTAATTGTTCTATTAGGAGGTGCTGGTTTTTTTCTACAGCTATTACTCTTTACTGGCAACAATGATAAGCCAGTTGTTGCCAAAGAGAACATGTAACAGCTGAGTAAAACCCTTACTGTGGGAACCATGAATTAGGGTCCCGCTCACCCATCCAGTTACCTTCCTGTTTGTTTTCCCAGAACTTGCAGAAACCTTATTAAACACCTGTGTTCCTCTAAGAAGATGACCAACAAATTCCTAAGCTAGACAGTTCCATTTCCTTATAGCCATAACCACTACCACGATGGACAGATTTGTTCCATAGGACAGACATGGAACTCACAGCAAGAGATCCCACAAAGATCATGTAACTTTACAGCAGGATGTAACCAGCTAAAATTAGCAACTTACTGGAAACAGTTTCATGCTCTCTCCTCACAGAAGCATGTTTAATTATTTTTTCCTTTCTGAGAAGGCAGAAAGAACTGCAGGGATCTCTTTGGGACTGACGGTGTTTCCGTGCCACCCCGGAGCCCCAAAGGCTCCTGCAGCGGCGTAGCAGGAGCAGTGACAGGGCACGATTCCCCCCAGCGCCCTCGGGGGAGCGAGCCCTGCCCTGGCCCCGCAAACAGCGGGTTCTGGAGCGGGGACCGGCTCCCGTGCCCTGCTCAGCCACCTCTAAAACACCCAACGCAGCACCCAGGAGCGGGCGGTGCCCGCGGTGCCGCTCGGGGCACCGAGCGTACGCCGGTGTGCTCTCCTCTGCCCCACCGCACACACGCGACACCGCAGCCACCGCCCTCCCGGAGGCAGGACCGGCACTGCCAGACCTCCCTCATCCTCTCGTCCCGCTCACCTGGAACTCCAGCCCGTAAATCACCGGCGCGTCGTCCTCCATCGCGGCCCCTCGCTCCCGCCGCGCCCTGCCGCCCGCGCCCGATGCTTTCTGGCCCTCGGCGCAGCCCGTTGACCGCCGCTTCCGGGAGCTGCGCGCGGCCCAGCCCCCGCGCAGGCGCCGTGAGGGGGGAGCGGCGCCGGGGGAGGCGGTGTCGGTGCCAGGTGACGGGGTGGGATGGGATGGGATGGGATGGGATGGGATAGAATGTGTGGAGTGGGATGGGATGTGTGGGGTGAGAGGGGGTGGGATGGGATGTGTGGGGTGAGAGGGGGATGGGATGGGATGTGTGGGGGGAACGGGACGGGGCGGCCGCGCGGCTCCCGTGCTGCGGGAGGGCCGGCCGGGGGGGCGGGTGTCTCCGGGTGTCGCCGGGGCTGTCCAGGTGGAGGCCGCTCTCCCGCCCCGCGGGGCGGCCGGGCCGGGGCACCCGCGGTGGCAGCGGAGGCAGCGCCGAGCCCGGCCCAGCCCAGCCCAGCCCAGCCCGGGGCCGCGGGGCCGCGGCAGCTCCGTCGGGCGTTGGTGCCGCTTGTCCGGCTGGGGACAGCGCTGAGACCGCGCTGCCCTTCACTGGGACGGGGACCGCGCTGGGCTTGCGAGCGGTGCAGCAAATGCGGAGGCCCTGGAACAGGTTGTCCAGGGAAGTTGTAGATCCCCATCCGTGGAGGGGCTCAAGGCCAGGGTGGATGGGGCTCTGAGCAACCTGGTCTAGTTGAAGGTGTCCCTGCCCACGGGAGAGAGGTTGGAACGAGATGATCTTCAAGGGCTCCTTCCAACCAAAGCATTCTGTTAAATTGTTTTACCTGTGTTTAGTGGGAGGCCTTTGCTCTTCAATCCCAGTACTGTTGGGATGCACAGAAAGCGTGGAAAGAATATATTTTCATGATTAATTTGTTCTGTGGCTAGATGTTAAATGAAAGATGTCATGTAGTGAAATTACTGTGTTTTTAAAGCAAGAATTTCAGTGTTTATATGATCCTTAGGAGTTTCACTGTGACACCTGACCAATACTAGAGTAACAAAACTAATTCTTTTTTTGGTGGGGACTTTTCCCTCTTCAGCTACCATGGAGAATAATGAAAGCAATGCTAAGGATGCAAAGAGCACCTCAGATGAAGATGATAACAGAGACATAGTTCAGCAGAAAACTCAGGAGGAAATTCTCTTTCATGAGGAAACCATTGATCTTGGTGGAGATGAATTTGAGTCTGAAGAGAACGAAACTGTATCAGAAGATTCAAATAATTTTGTAGATAAACTTAATGAGCAAATGATGGAGAGTGTCATTATTTCAGATTCACCAAACAATAGTGAAGATGACACAGGTGACCTTGGTTGTCTCCAGGAGATTGTAGAACAAATGGAAGCTAAAGATAATAAAAAAACAGAAGCAGAAGTGGATAAAGAAGAGTTTTTAAGTAATGAGAGTGAAACTGAACATGAAGAAACACCCAAAGACATTTCTGAGATTGGAACAGATGATCAGGCATCTTTGAAGGAAGAATCAATTCAGGAAGCAGTGAAGGAAGAACCAAAGATGGAAAACAATGTTCCTGTTGATAAAAAGCCAAATAACATTAATGAAAGCAAACCTGAGGACCAAATATCGTCCCCCAGTACTAGCAAACCATCCTCCGAGGCTGAGCCTATTCCTGTGTGCACCATCTTTAGCCAAGCAAACAATGTTAGTACCCAGCCACAGTTGTTCCTACCTGATGGCTTTGAGCCTCAGATGGTGAAATCTCCCAGTTTCAGTAGTATAATTGAGACTCCAGTGAAGTCTAATCCACAGGTGGTTCAACCAAGTCCTAGTCTGAGCAAGTTCTTTGGCGACACTGTTAACACTAACACTTTAGCTTCTGATTTCTTTGATTCATTTACCACATCCAATTTTATTTCTGTTAGTAATCCCAATGCAAACTCTTCAGTTCCAGAACAAATGTCCTCTCTTGCCAACGATGGAGATGGTTCATCTAACCCTACTTTCCCTGTGCGCAATGGGAGACCTGAAGCAGGTGGTCCTCCCTCATCTCTAGAAATAACTCAATCCCCCAAGCCATTCTCACAAATCCAGGCTGTTTTTGCTGGGAGTGATGACCCATTTGCCACAGCTTTAAATATGAGTGAACTAGACAGAAGAAATGATGCTTGGCTTCCTAGTGAGGAAACAAGGAATGTTCTCATTTCAGTTGCCACACAACAGTACAGCACCGTGTTCATAGATAAAGAGAATCTTACCATGCCTGGATTAAAATTTGATAATATCCAGGTAAGAGTCTGGTTTTGCATCTTAGTCTATGATTACATTTTAGAAATACTGTGTAAGAGCTGTCCAATAATGTGTATATCATAGTGCTTCATATTGCTGATGGTTTCCTTGTGTGTATTACTTCAAACCTAATAAAAGTCAGTGTCACTACCTACTCATACATGAAAGGGATAGAACCAGATCTAATTTATTCATAGTGACATTTGTTGGGTACATTGAAAACCAGTGTTGACAATTCCCTTAGAATCCAAAGCTGGTTATATTTTTAAGTACTGGTCCTCCTAGTTAGTAAGGTAATGCTCGCATTTGGAATATATACAAAATCTCTCTGCTGTGCTGCAGTCTGAAAGCAAACAGCTTTGTTTGCTTGTGGAATTCACTGTTACAACCAAGTGGGAAATAACATTTTTTCACTCATGTTCACAGTGTTCTCAATAATGTTAACACTGACTTAAATTGCATCTTTTCTATCTTCCCTAAGCAGTGGAAAGGTATAACCTGTAAGAAAGATTGAGTGCTGCAGCAAGGTAGTGGAAAGGGATAACCCCAAAATTAAAGGGAAAACTCCAAATGAGATCATGAAGCAAAAAACATAGTAGTGAAAACTCACCTTTTTGCTTCTATCCGAGTTTCCAACTGGTGACAAGGTATAAAGCTTTTTTTTCAGAATTTGAAAAATTTCACTCAGATCTATTCAGGATTTCTAATGAAGCAATTTTATCCCGACCAAGACTAACTACCGTAATGTTTTGGGTTTTTTTCTTAAAATAGGCTGATCCTATTCTTTCGTTCTATGTCTCTGGATAATAGAATTATTCTTTAGATAGATGGTGTTGAGGGTTTGGATACTTTAATCCTTAATTGTGCATAACAGACATTATCAGTCAATATCAAACGCAAAGCAGAGAACAGTCTGCAGTAACTTCCTGATCTGCAGGAGCTATCAGAAATGTTTCTGGAATTAATCAGGTCCAGATTTGTAGCTGATTAACTGACAAATCTTAGTTTTCTGTCCCAATTAATCAATTATACTAGTTTTAGACATATGCCATCGTGCTGCTGCTTCTTGGGTTAATTTTATCTTAAAAGGTTGGTTTGTGTTGCAGAGCCTGAAAAGTATTGTGAAAGAAAACATTGTAATAGGAAGCTGCTACTCCTCCAGTCCTTCCCACCTTGCCCAAATTATCCCTTAGACCTTGATGAGTTATTCAAGAGTGTGTACTATGTCTCTCCTGACAGCTAATGGGATGGGCAGAATGAATGATCCCTTCTGCAGGCTCCAAGGATGCGGGTCTCCTTATTGCAGGCCTTCTCTTTCACAATAGTTCTTACTCACCTTCCTCAGTCCAGTCATCGATTAAAGGCTTGCTTGTGCTGATGAGTCCCTAAATCTGACCATGTCCATATATGCAGATGTACCATTTAGTACATAATTTGAAAGAAGACATTTGGCAATATCTATGTGATTTATTTCTTCAGTAAGACCTCGTATAAAATCATCAATGGAATTAAAGGGCATTCCTGCTGCTTTCTTTGTTGATTATAATTTATAAGTAGTCTCATTGATATGTCAGCTGGGACAAGTTTTGAAGTGCTTTATATTTAGGCAACTTTCCTCACTTTCAGTTACTGCTTTTCAGTGGCCTGAGTGCATGACTTGACTGACTTGACATCCCCTACTTTGGTACATTGTTCCATACACTACTAGTACTGCAAACTGTGTATTTAACTGAAACTATAATTGTAGAGTACTTGAAATGTCAACTGAAACATTGTGGGAGGCATGTTTTCAATGTTAAAGCAGCTTCCAACAATACTCATTATGGCTTTGTTGTGAACAGTTTGCTAATGTAAATGTTAATCCAAGATGTTAAACCAGGCTGCATGCAGTGGACAGAGGAGTTGGTTGTAAAGTGCATTTGCAGTGAGTGAACTGCAGATGTGCTTCAGGGAAGGACTGACATTTTGCATGATGTGTATTGAAGAGCTTGATCCTTTACTCTTTTCCCTGCTTACTCAGAAAGTGTTTGTATAACACATGTGTTGTCTGAAAATTTTAAATTAGTTTTATGTGGATAAATCATACCAAGAAAAACACTGAATGTTTTTTATTTCAGCTGCTTTTGGTGATCATTGAAGAAACATTATCTTTTAAACTGTCTTGGATTGTGAATGGTACAGATTGTCTGTACCTGTGTTCTTCGAGTGTCAGAACGAGTCTGAGTGCAGCTTTTTATGCTCTTTCCATTATGTCTTTTTTCATGAGTTTCCCTGTCTACTCTCATTGTCCTTTGTTTCATTATGTTAATTTTACTATTTTGTTCTCCAAAGTACTGTTGGGTCCAAAGTACTGTTGGGAGGATTAGGAATTCTTCTATATTCATGTAATTTTGCACAGTCTTTTAATCCTTTGGACTCTTCTGTCCAAAAGATGAGTATCTTATTTATTCATAGGATAAGTGACAGCATTAGAGGTAAAATATTTCCATGTAGTGAAAGAACAGTTGTAATCTCATTCCTTAAACACAAATATATTTCCCATCCTTGTCCATGGGAAAAGTACCATCATTTAATATCAATTGTCTTTATCATAGCTATATTTTATTAATGTCATCTTTTTTTTAAACAAAAAGCTATTGAGGTCAGGTAGCCCAGATTCTCTGACTGATTCTTGCAGTTAATTCCTTCGAAATTAAGAACACGTATTGAAGGGTTGCTGTTTACTTTGTTCTGTGATTTCTCAAGTTTGTTTTCTGTGGGTATGTAAGGCTAGCTTATCATGAGCATGTTTATCTTTGATCAGTAGCTTGCACCTTTCAATGTTAATATATACTGTGAAAACCCATAAAACTGATTGTTTTGTAAGATCTTTGGGGAATATTCTGTAAGATCTGTGAGCGATAATAATATGAGAAGCAAATAAACCTGAACCTGTCAATGCTAACGGAAACCTATACATGGAAAAAAAAGAATATACCAAGTTATGTGGAGTAAATGTAGAAATTTTCATTACAATGCTGTAAATGCATGTGCAGTTATGTTTATTTCACACAGAAAGTACTGGAAAATAAGTATTTCTCTAGAGGAAAGAACTGTTGCTCAGCTTTAATTCTACATTTTTATTTTGCAAAAATGGTGTTTAAAAAAGTCTTGTTATGTGTCTTCTTTTTCTGTTCCATGAACACCAAGGGAGATGCAGTAAAAGAGTTAATGATTCGCTTCTTGGGGGAGCAAGCTGCAGTGAAGAGACAAGTTTTGAACACCAGCTCTGTAGAGCAGTCATTTGTGGGCTTGAAACAGCTAATTGTAAGTAACAATCTTTGTAATTTAATATGTATTAAATACTATGCCTCCCTCAAGATAATTGCGAGTTACTCACTGTGAGGAGAAACTGGGGAAAAAAAATCTACGCATCAGTCTATCCATGATCCTGCAATAGTACTCACCAAACAACAGTAACTTTTAAAGGGAATGAGATTGGAGTTTAAATATTTGGTTTTACATCATCCAGTTAACTTTTATTTAATATGCAAAAGTTAGAAAAATGGTTATCTTAAGTGACTATAAATTTTGTTGTGATGTAAATGGTTGCAAACCAGATTTTAATATTTTTTTTTGTTTATCTGCATATGTATTATTTTTTTTCACCTGAGTGTTTTACAAAAGGCAAGATATACAAGTTGTAAATGGTAAGTGAACCTGATGTGATAAGTTAAACCGCTTAATTTTTTACTTCAGTGCAGGAAAACTAAAGAAAATTGCTTCCAAAGGAAAGCTTAATTTAATCCTTTCATTAATGTAAATATTTCCATCCATAGTTGGTGTCTATGCAAGGTGTTCTTCTATGCTGCAGACAACCTTGTAGATTAAATACGGTGCTGGTGCTGATGCTGTTTTAGTTTTGAACATGCTCTTATGCTCCAGAAGAGCTGTGTTAAGGCTCTTATACTCAAGGCAGCGAAGCTAAGGAGGCAGTCTGCAACTGTAGGATCTTCTGCTACCTGTAGATAATTTTTATTTCTTTTATTTATTATAAACTTGTCTTATTAGAAGTTTCAGAGTTTTTGTAAAATTGCAGCCATTCAGCTAGAAGTCAGAATGTTCTTCAGTTTTCAAGGCTTTCAATCATTAGCTGGTAATTGTTTCTTATGATACAATATAACTATTTCTCAGTTTCATTTGCAGAACTTTGTTTCTTTTTATGATAATAATTATCTGGTCAATGTTTTCCCTTGCAAACGTTGCTGTTTTTTTCTGAAATTCTAAATGTAGAAAATTTATTTCTGATTGGCAAGAGTCTTTAATGTTTAAAAGAGATTTCAGACTTAGAAACATTAAAATCCCCTGCTAGATGATACTAATTAAAAAGATGTATACTTTTTAATACATAATAGGCCAGAATGACATATAATAAGTATTCTGTCACCAATTTTACTTTGTTTATGAGTGAATTCCTGACCAAATATGTGTAGTGAATAAGTCTTTTGATGCAAAGGACAACTTACAGGAAATATTTTCATTTAAGATCTGGTTAAAAACTGGTGCACATTGAAAATACTACTATGCAGTTTCCATAACATTATAATCGTTTTCCTTAGGAGTTTATTTGGTATCCTTGTGAACTACACATGAACATGAGAATTAGTGAGATTGTTTATCACTCAATTCAATCCCTTGCAGCAACTCAAAAGATTGTATTTCACATGTGTCCAGAGTACAGAAGAGAAATACTTGGAATTAGGATAGACTTCAGCTTCAGACCGATACCTGTTATTTAGATGTTTACATGTGAGCTGATGTCTGAACTCTGAAGTCAACAGAGGTCTAATAATACGATCGTTGATCACATCTAAATTTAGATGGGATCCCATCTAAAAATCTCAAGTATTATCACATGTTGTAGGAAGACACCAGTAGCAGGTGAAACAAAAAGTGAATGTTAGGTTCTGTTCTGAAAAACTTGTTAGGTTCGAATTCTCAGATTATCTTGGGTGGACTCCATTGTATTATGGAATGGAAAAAAATTAGAGAAAAAGAATGCTATTCCAGGTTTGTCAGTCTTCAGAGAAAACTGCTTCATTAGTATCTGGTTACTGTTTTAGTCCTGTGTGGGTGGGAAAAACATACTAAATGGATCACTAGTATCCCAAATCTTCATACCACAGGTCTTCAGCTGCAATTCTGAAGTTTCTCTATTCTACCATACTATTGCTTCTGTTCTCTTAATTGTCTGTTTTAACAAATAGATACACTGCTGCTACTTTCAAAGGCTATTCCAGAACTTCATTCCTTTGCTTGCTAATCAAAGGAATTCTAATCAGTCCTCTCTCAAAATCTTTCTTTCTAATCAAAACTAAAGTTGTTTACAACAATTTAAGTGTTTTGGTCTCATGTTGCTTCTTAATTAATTTTCTTTTCTCAGTATTTGCTTCCTCTCTCCTGCTACTTTTTATGATTAGACAACAGTGGCAATTCCAAAAATAACCAATCTCTAGTAATCTAGTCATAGATGCCTTCACAATCATTTTAGGAGCTCTTCTCAGAGTCTCTTCCAATTGAATCCAACATCGTTTTGTTACCGCTTCCCAGAGCTACACACATTACATTGTAAGTTACATGACTTGGCAGGTTAAAGATATCTTATTCTGACACTGTAAATCATCTGATCCCTGTTTGGTCCTTATAGGGGTGACAGTACTTCCTAGATTACATCTACAAATGCAGATACCAGCTCTTTTTACCAGGGTCACAAAAAAAAAAGTATCTTAAATTTTATTGATTCTAGTGTGCATCCTAGAGTAATAACTTTTCACATCCTTATAAAAGCTCCAGTAAAAGCCATTTAAGTTAAAAACAATTCTGTGGGTAAGATGAAATTTGTGCTTGCATCAAGAAAGTTGGAGACTGATGTCCTTTTGGGGGAATCATGGTGCAAAGTCTGCAAAAGTTTCCTGAAGTACAATTAGTTGTCAGAAAACAAACTTTACCAAGAAGTTAGTAAGCTGAGCTTCCAGAGGTGCGCCTTTTCTGATGAGACCACCAAAAGCAGCATCATGCCTAAGACAAATACTTGGTCAGCAGGAATTGAACTAAGGCTGAGAAACTTGGCTAACAAAATTGTTTTGTTCTGTAGTTGTTTTGAGTGAGATTTGTACCAGTAACCCAAAGATAGTTTATTTGAACAACTGTGCTTTCTCATTTTGAATTTCTGCTATCAAATGGATAACATTGAATTGGAAATCTTTTACTGGTGGGGTAACGGTGTGAGTTGGTGTAGTTGAATTAGTTTTACAACTTTGGGGCCTATAAGAGATACAGGAGTGCTGGAGCAGTTCAGCAAAATATTTCTGTAATAACTAGTGAATAGAGTTACACATCTGTACAGGGAAGGTTTTTATATTTTTCAACTGAAAGCAGAATATCTTGAGTTTCTAAAAAGTTTTATCAATCTGGCATAGGAACATGCATTTACATCTAGAGCAAATAAATGTAAGCAAGAGCTTGTCTTCACAGCATTGCTTTGTTTTACAGCAGCAAATACAAGGTGCAAGCTGCAATTATGTTAGTTCCTTTTATTCCATATTTTAGATTAATTGTTTACACTCATTTTAAGAAATAGCACAGTCTCTCTTAATAGAGACCTTTCTGATACTTTGAGTTATAAGCCATAGGAAAATTCTGTCTTAGATAGTTATTATACCTTAATTGTCACTATAAATACACCGTGTTTACTCTAATGTACAATCATTTTTTCAAGCTACTAGGCCAGGAAAGGGTTACTAACTACATTTTCTTAACTGATGTGGAAGTGCTCTACCAATGTAATTTACAGGGGAGAAGCATGTCATAGCTAGTGGAGGAGGACATTTTAATCACTTTAATGGTGTTACATGTAGAGTTAATGACTCCCTTTGAGTGTATTTAAAAAAAGTCATATACTGCTACTTTTGCATGTGATTAATGTTGTGCTTTTGCGTATATTTTCAAATATAATAAATCTGGATACAGTGGTATGGCATACATACTCACTTTAATAAGTCATAAATTATTCTTGAAAATAGGGGAGGGGATTGTTCTTTCGTTTCTAAATTAGTGAGCAATTTCTCATACTTTTGTAGCTGATTTGAGAGAAGATGGAAGATACAAGTAGCACAAACAGTAGCTGGATGCTTGTGGGAAAAGGTTGCATTTCTGCTTACTGGATAAAATTTCAGTGCTTTTCCTGAGAGGCTGAATAATGTTATAAATTGTGTATCAGTGGAGTTTCCTTTTTATCAGTGAACATGTTTTCCATAGACATCCAGTCTTCATGACTTGCTTTGGTAGACAGAAGAATTACATTTGAAACCTGTTTTACTATGCAGTTTCCCTGTCTGTATGTCAACCTCCCCCAGGACTTCTGTGTTTTTGAAGAACAGAGAAGTTCTGCAGGGAATAGTACATTGTCTATTGGGTGGCTGCACTGCTTGGCCCAGCTTTGGTGTGTGTACGGCAGTCAGTACAGAAATAATTCTTTTTTCTTCTTCTAATTTTTAGTTATGTATATGGACCAAAAAGCTCCTTTCAAAAGATAAATATCTGGACTAACAGTGCTTAAAAAGTACAGAAATCATACAAACTGGTGGCTTTCATTGAAAGAAGAGCTTCATATTTCGGGGGGGGGTATAGAAAAAGATAATGCTAATAGAGAGAAGTTCTCTGCTGCTGGCTGCCACTGTTAGTGACCTGGTTGGCAATATTATTTGGTTGACAGTATTTTTTACTTTGAGAAATTAATGTTTTTACACAATAGCAGATAAATGACCGTGTCCTGATCATCATAGAATAATTATTTTGCCTTTGAGGATATTCTTCAGTATTTTTGAAGAAGTATGTGAAGCTGTGCTGTCCATACTTGCTTTGGCTTCTACTTAGGACTTAGAAACAAAATTCAGGAACAAAGGATCCAGGCTGTTAGGACCATGTGCTTCTAGACCATGGGAAGCGTGAAAGTGACTGACCTGCAAGGTTTTGAGAGGTGTTTGAAGTAACTGGAGAAAGATTTCTGCTGGACTGGCAACTCTAAGTTTGGTACAATTTGTCAGAGAAAATAATGTGTCCGGTTTGTTTCAAATTAAGTTGTACTGCCAGCAACCTTCTATTAAGCTTCCACATAGAATTATGCTCCATGATCAGCAGGCAGCTCTAATTTTGAAATCTTGATGAATATTATGTTTCATTTGCCAGCAAAGTCTGTTTTCACAATGACTGTCAGACTTACTTTTCCTAACTGTCTTGTTCTATAAAGAAAAAGTATTTTTTGTCCATGCCATAAAGAGAATTTAAAAAATTGTAGCAACTAAGTTTGTTATAAATGATTCATTATTATTTTTGGATCCTAACTCTCATTTGGGAAGAAAAGTTGTGCAGTTTGCAACAACACAGTGTTTGCTTCTGTTCTAAGGATAATAAGAATTTGTCTCTCCAGAAGAGGATTGAATTTCAGGTAATCCATGTCAGTATCTTTCTGCTTTTCTAAGTTGATACAGGTAGTTGAAGGATGTTGTAAAGGCATTTTCAGTTCCTGCTCTTCCATAAGAGTGTAGATGTCCCACATTCTGCCATGCTGTTTCATGGTCTTGCTGTCTTGCTTCTGCATTTCCAGCAGAACTCAGCTTTTTATCTGGCATTTGACAGTGCAGGGATGAGAGATGAAGTGGTTAGCGCACGGTGGTCTCTGTAGTGGTCCTTTGAACTGTATGGCTGCAAATTGGGGGCCAGAAAGTATGAAAACTCTTCAGGTGTTACTACTAATGTCTGATGTAACTGTTTGCTGGATCAACATGTTTTCTAAAACATTGGAGAGGATTTAATAAAATACCAATTCAAGGTTAGTATCTGAACTTGCAAGCACCAATATAAATATATTTTATTTCTTACCATTTCATCAGACAACTTGACAATTTCTATTACCTTTTTTTTAATGTATTTAAGAAACTATTTGAAAGAAATGTTACTTTCAGGAATAAGATGTATTTATTTCAGAATGACCTGCTGGATACATGTCTCTTGAAAAACTCTTCTTGTATGATAGAAAAGTATGACAGCTTAAAATCTGTGAAGCGTTACTCTGTGTGTTAAGGTCTTGGTATGTTGCATCAGGCTATACAAGGCAGAAACATTAATGGGATGACAGTATAACAGGACAGTTTGATTTGTCTAACTAAGAATGTTTTTGTTTTATAAATAAAGAAATAATTTTAATATTTTGAAATTAGTAATGGAATGGGAATTCAGATGTTTACATTGTGTAGGTGAAACTGTTGTTATTGTTCTGAATTTATCATTTTATGCATTATATTGTTTCTTGTCCTTTTTTCCTGATTGCTAGGAATGTTCTGGGCAATGTTAGGAAAGTTTATTTTCATTAAATGAACTGCACTAGGGATTATAACTGAAATACTGAAGTCAGTGAGATAAGAATAGGCATTGAATACTTTATAATAGTAGAGTAATTTGAGTGTGATTATTGATAACATATGGCTGGCAATTTTTTTCTCCTTTTGAGGAGAAAACAAAATTGTGGATACTATAGTATATGCATTTATATTATCAAATATGACATAGCTTTAAGTTTAGAATTCTCTATGGGTTTGTATATTCTCTTGGTTTAGTGATCTGATAATATTAGTGCTTGATTTCACTTTTTGCCTAATTAGACGTGCAGCTTTGACAAATGACATTCTGCTTCTCAGTGGCCAATTCTCCTGACCTTGTCGTTATTACTGATGGGTGCATGTTGCTGCTTCAGGCAAAATAGGCAGTTGTGCATTTCAGGGGCTTTATGATTTTGCTAGTTACTCTTTTCTTCTTCCCAGAGCAGTAAAAACTGGAGGGCAGCAGTTGACTTGTGTGGGCGGCTTCTAACTGCCCATGGTCAAGGCTACAAAAAAAGTGGACAGCCTGCTAACCATACTACAGATTCTTTACAGGTATGTTTACAGATACACCCTTGTCACTCTTTTCCAGTGGCATTTTTTTTTAACATGATCAAACTTCTTTTCCTAATTGTAACCAAAAAACTGAGCTTACTTACGCCTTGTAGTATGTCACTTTCTCTGTTTGCTTAAGAAAAATAGGTCTTCATTTAAAACAAACTTCTTTTTTTAAGTAGATTTCAATATTGATTGTATGCTTTTAAAGGTAATCACACTAGCAGAATGAAATGTTTTGCTGTCTTGAAAGACTCGCTGTGCTAGAGTTCATAGATCTACTTAGACTGTGAACTTTTGAGTAAGATTTCAAATGGTAGAAGTGTGTTTCATGTTGATAAAAAAGTAAGAATTCAAATTAATAAAATATTACAAGTAGTTCAGATGTAACCTAGATTAGAACTCATGTTTTTGACCCTAGTAACTATAAAGTTCATGGAATTTCACCAAAATCCTAAGAGATTCTAAGATTGGAATAATAAAATTGGAAAAACAATCAATATATCAGATTGATAATTCATACATGCTAACTCAGGTTAAAGAGAGATGTTCTAATTTTGAACAGGCTAGTTTTTAAACTTCATCTTCAAAATCTCTCTGTCCTTACAAACAATTAAACCATCAGTGAAAGAGAGTGTAAATATAAATCCCTATTCTCTTCCTTGAGTAACATAGAAACTCTTTACTCAGCTTTTATCAGAAGAACTTAGAAAGTTGAAACTGTGTTTGGATATGGCTTGTGGTTGAAGCTAATAACAGACTTTCCCCCTCTTCTTTACATATATTGATTTTTAGCTGTGGTTTGTGAGACTAGCACTGCTGGTAAAACTGAATCTATTCCAAAATGCAGAAATGGAATTTGAACAATTTGGAAATTTAGACCAGCCTGATCTTTATTATGAATATTACCCTCACGTATACCCTGGACGAAAAGGTAAAACATTTGATTTATAAAATGGTTTTTATATTTACTGGTTTTACGAGTCATTATAAGATGTTAGTTGGATTAGGTTTTTTTTAATTCTAAAGCATTGGTGAACTTTGGATTATGTTGCTTTTGGTTTATTTTTTTTTTTTCCTGAGGAACATGATTGATTACTACATTAAAGTATTGTTAGCATTATGGAGGTAGCAATAAGGAGTAATAAGAAGTAGAACAATATAGGTAGGCAGCGTATTTCATGATGCTGCTACAGAGCAATGTTTTTGGCAACTAAACATAATAGTTTAGATCTATGGTATTGAAATTAAAAACCACCAAACTTAAGTACTGTGTTTTAGCCAGAAACAGACTGTGAAAGGTAATGAGAGAGTTTATGCAAACAGAATCTATAAGCTTTTCCTCTTAAGCTCATCCAGGTACTATCAGTATGCTGTTTTTCACCCTTGCGTGCCCATGCAGGCAGGTGCTAATGCAGGTGTTATTTCCTGGTTCCTAAGATTAAAAGAACAAATTTAGAGCTAATTTAATAATTCTCCTTAATTTTAAAAATGGTTGAATGTAAATTATTTGCTTAATAATTGCAAGTAAATAAAACCAGAAGTTTACTATTTATCTTATTGTTGAAGAGGAAAAAGCCACCACCAGCCTCAATTCTTTATAAGCAGTTTACCTCGAGTTACAGATGCACTACTTCCCACTGCTCCAAATAGCCCATAGATTAACCACATAGTTCCTCTACGCAGGGAATTCTAGTCCTCTAGAAGCCTGGGTTTGAAAAATTGCTAGTTTTAAGAGCAGTTTTACTTCTATTCAGGCTATTTTGAAATTTTATTTTTTCTAAATCTGTTATTTCAAAAAAGTAACTCTTTGGTGCAATTACAGTGTTGAGTGTTCTTAATGTTCTTTGGCTTTCATATTTGAACCACAGTGTATAATAAAACCTTTGTAAGAAACAGTTGTTATAGGCAGTGCCACTGACAAGTTATAGTCCATTTTACATGAGACGCTGGTAGTCTTGATGGCATTGCTGAGGAAGGGAAGTTGGTGTCAGAAAGTTTAGGATTTTTTTACAGAAGGTTATTTCATCTTTTCAGTGTTGCAAAGGGTCAGTTGTAGCCCAGCAAGGCCAATGGGGACTGCCTGGAACTTAAGTCCCTCTGACCTTACTCATCATCTTTCAGGCAATCACTGGCAATCCACTGAGAAAGAACTGTGTAATTTTTAAGAGTGAGAGAGGTCTTGATCATCAGGTTGCACAGCTCCTTGGATCTGGTTATCTTTGGGCAGCTCTGCACTTGATGCAGTGCTGCATAGGATTAGTCTTCCCCAGGCCATATGTATGTTTCCACATCTTTTTCAGTATTAAAAGTAAGTTCTTTTTGTCAAAGAAAAATCCTTGCGGGTCATGTCAATATTTGAGGCACTTGAGTCCTCGTACCACAGATCGTACAAGAAGCAACAGCTCTGGACAGTCTGGCTGGCTGCTGCAGACACCCATTCTGGATCTGAGCTTCGAATCCAAGCTGTTCTTGCAGCAACCACTCAGCCACTGTGGTTATTTCATACAAATTATGAGGGCATCGATGAGGTATTCACAGGGATGTAGGAGAAAACAAGCACTTCTTTTCTGGCTGACATTAAACTACACTATGCTGGATTACAGATAGAGAAAATTAGTATAAATGCATCATTAACTGGCTAATTTAAATAAAAAAATAGAGATAAATCATTCATAAACCTATTAGTACGAATCCGCAATCCACTGCTGTTTGGTAATTTTGCATATCATTTTGTGGTGTAACAAGCATAAAAGAAAAGGTTTTCTTTCAACATTTTAGGTTTGATTTATGGTATATAAATGGAGAAAGCACTTAAAAGTCAATTTGAGAAATGAGTGCATAGATATAAATAATGTACACATTAATTGTAATACATACTATATTTTGCATAATTTTTTTGTATTCAAAATATTCATAATAAAAAATGTAATAAATTGGAAAGTGTTTGGGGTTTATGCTTGAAGTAGGGAAAGTTTTGAACTTCTCACAGCAGTGAGAATAGTCCCTCATCCATTAATCTTAGAGAAGTATACCTAAAATAATTTTAGTTACAAGTAACTCTGTGAGGAGTGGAAGATTTTTTTCCTTAACATGACCACCATGCTACTCTTATTTTCCCTCTAAAGAGCTTTCCCTTTTGGCTGTGCTACTAATCTCCTTTTCATCCTCATATTTTGTATGGCATTTGCAGCCATGCTGTGCATGGATCCCACTACTATTGTGTTCATCATGGCTGTAAAATGTAGTCTTTCTGAATTCTTCCTTTCCTGGTTTCTACATGTTCTTTCCTCAGTCATCTCCATTACCTGTAGGTGTGCAGCCTGTTGGGGAGCGTAATCTGGGATCCTTGTGTCTGCAATGGAATAGTCACTCTGGGATCATTGCTGTTTGATATAGGGCAGAGAGAAAACTGTTCCCATTATCTAGTAAAATCTTAAAATTATTCAGTTATGAATCTATTTCTTTTAAATTCATCTGTGTAAAGAAGCTAAAAAGCATGATTTTATATATTTTTTTTTGGTTTTTAATAGGTAGGTCTTTAGGCCAGGAACTCTGTTCCAGGTTGCTTCCTGCACATACTCTGTGGGGTGTATAAGGCTGAATTTTTGTTGTCATTCTCATGACTAATGAATTTCAGGATTTTTTTTTTTTTTAGGGTTTTGACTTTGCATTTACACAATCTGACCCACTTCTATTCCTATCATTTGTTTCTGTGTTTCTTGTGATGTTTAATGAACTCTCATATGATAGCTTTCCTAACCTGAAATAGCCTTTCCCTTGGTAATGCCTATGTGTTTCTGAATGAGTGAGAGCCAACAATTAAAATGGAACATTAAAATGCTATTTCATGCTTTTATGAGGTAATTTGGTCTTGTTTCTGGTTAGTAGACCAGGAAGTTACAGAAAAGTTAATGCTACCAAAATCAGTGTTCTAAAGCTACAAAACTTGAGAAGAATTTATTTTATATTACAAAGAAAAGAAACTTGCATAAGTAAAAATTGGACTTTCATTCCCCTGACCAGAGGTTTGTATAACATGGGATGGATTTTATTTTTCCTTTCCTTTTTTCATTCTCCTTGTGAAGATAGAGTATCATCTGTATTCCTCTGAATAAAAACAGTCTCTGTGCCCTGGTGGAAATTACCTAATTGAGGAACATGTCATTAAGTATCTACTTGTATGTGCTCTAGAAACTGATTTCATACTGTACACCCTCCCATGAACTCTGCTACTATTTCTAGCACAAGTTTTTTTGAAGTGTGGCTGTGTTGCAACTCTAGGGATACACTAGTGTATGCTACAATAGACTGACACTTTTGGATGGATAGTGATTTTTTAAAAAATAATATATGATATATAAAAATACATATATTTATATCAAAATAGTGTGGCTCTAGAAATCATAACTACTGCTTTAGCATATTTTACTATGTCTGTATTATTTTTATGACTTTACTGCTACCCCATGTAGTTAGATGTTTTATCAGAAATACATGAAAAAATGGATTAAAAAATAGTTGTCTGAGATTTCATTTTTTATGTGTCCTTATTTACTCAAGTAGTGCTCTTAGTTTGTTTGTTTTATTCAGTTTTGAAATTCAAATCCTACTAAAGGAATCATCATATGTGGTCTAGAACTGTCATTCGAGCCCTTGTTGTAAACAGGTTTTCAGTGCTGATATCTAAGGTGAACTCTAATACATTATTATTGTTATTACATTTAATAAGCTTATAAACCAGCAAAATATATAATGATAAACTTGTTTTATGTCTAACGCAGAGATACTTTGTTAACAAGGGAAACACACAGGATTATTTCTCTAATACCTACAAAAGACATTTTACAGACACCTGCACTGTGTGTACAGCTCCAAGGTCTACCTGCTCTCAGAAGCTTGGTCCTGTTTCTGAATGTCAGCCTATGCCATAAGTAAGGACAGACTTGGACTGGGGAAATTATCTCCTGTATGTGAGGCCTCTACGGTGATGTTTGGCCATTTTGAGTTTATTGTCTTCCTTTCTTCTTCGCTCCTACTTGTCCATGCTAGTAGGAGGCAGCCTGGCTGAAGCTTCCTTTTTTTTTTAAACCATGGATTTGTTGATTCCATAACTGAAATACCCTTTTTTTTTTTTCAACCATATCAAATTTTGCTTAGTGGGAGAACTGTAGCAGAATGGGAAGTGGTGTGGGGAAAATAGAAGAATAATTGCGGTAGGTGGAGAGACAAAAGGGAGTAATCTATGTAAAAACAAAGATAAGAGGAGAACTGTACAGACTAAAGAAACTATGGCATATAGAGTGCTCCTGTCCATTCATAATGTCCGATTTTTTTGCCTTCACTTCCTTTTTCCATTTATCATTGCAGGCCTTATAATTTTGCAGGAAAGCAGAAGAAAAAAAATTACTCCAATCACTGGTACATGTGGCACTAGTTTTCTCATGTGTTACGACAAATGCTGCCTGACATTAACACTCTCACATCAGACTGATTCAGTCTTGGCAGTTGCTTGGTAGAGTTCTTCATTCAGGCCCACATTGGCAGTAAAAAAACATATTAAAGCCCCTAGTGGAACCGGTTTGCCTGTTATTCTCTTTACATTACTGTGTATATCTCTGTTGTGTCTTAAATACACTCTCCGTTTGTTTGCTTCAGAGCTACCTTCTACCTGTGAAACCAGCTAATAGAACTTGAATAAATACCACTCAAGTGTTGTGGTTCCAGTTTGTTATTCAAACTACTCAGATGTGCAAATACGAATTTTTCAGAAATAATGTGGGATTTTAGTTAAGAAACATATGTATAATGCTAAGGGAGGTAGAGTACTGATGGAGTACTTAGTTGTGCATTCTTTCCCAAGGCTGCATAGTCTCGCTGTAAGACAGTACCAACTTTATATAGGATTTCTTAATACTATGAGTAAGTAAATAA